AAGTTACTCTTTCATCTTTAGACCTTAATTTTTAGCGTGAGTTTTAAAGTTTTATGAATTTATCATATTAATTTTTCAGTTAAGATTTTTAGTAACTTTAAAGAATTAATTGTTCAGATTTTTTGTTTTTCTATTTGGTTCTTTTGTTGCACTAATTCATTAGTATTTACAAGATTAGGATTTTATTATGTTTCTGTGATTTATGCCTGCCTGGAGTGAGATAGTTAGTAAGATTAGATTATTGAATGTCTTATTCCTTACTCCTACTAACTTATAACTCTGAAAATTGAGATCAAATTCATTGGGATTTTTAAATGCAAAGAAAGTTTTCTTTTCTAAAGTTGAAATTTAATCCTCTTTTCTTAAGAGCAAAATTTAGTTCCTTTCTCTTAATAGCATGATCACGATTTTGTATAATAAAGACATGATTTTTTATTTTTTTATATTTTTTATTCTTATCGGGTAAACCGATAACCGAACCGATAAGGATCGTAACGGACTAACCGATACTCGATATTTTATCGGTTCGGTTATCGGTTTAGCATATTTATAAACCAATAACCGATATACCAAACTGATAACATTCACAACCGAACCGACTGATTCACACCCCTACCCATATCTACCCTTCCCACCCCCTTAGTAGTTATTAAAGCGAGTGTTGGTTAGCGATCTCTATTGCGTGCTGTTATCCGTCCCTTCTTAATGGTCCTGGAGGAAATTTAGGACCTCTACCTATAGACAGTTCTAGACAGACCCCTAAGTTTTAAAGGAGAAAATACTAAGGCGACAGGCAAGAACAAATAGGACCTTAGCACATAAGGCAGAAAAGAAGCAATCAGAGGCTCAAGTTTACCTCCACAAATAACGCACATAGGCAGCACGATTCAAACACAAATAAGGGTCGTATTGTTAAACGATATCCTAAGACATGATGTCTAAGTGAATATCAAGACATAGAAGATAGACAGTTTATTTTATAAACTCAGAAGTAGTGGCCCTATCAGTTTTCCTACTGATTTTAAGCCTATTAAATCAGAACAACATTAAGTAGTAGAAACAGTTTCAGAGTTGCAGGATTTGATAACGCCCTATAGGCTTGCCTACACACTGAATACTGGTGTCCTAAGAGCATGATAACTACGTTTGATATAGTAAAATAGTGGGCAGATTTTAAAACAGACTCTTGAGTTCCTATAGGCATGCTTTCTGATAGTAAATTAGAGCAGTACTCGAAAAAATTCATTTCAGGAAAAACAAACCACTAATTAGATCAGTTTCGAAGTAAACTAATCATGAATTGGATTGACTTATTTAAACTAAACTGATTTTAGATCTATGGGCATAATTTCTGATGTTGTTCCTTATAGGCATGATATCTAATTGTTAAAAGCTAATGTTAGAAACTTGCAAGCATGATAACAAATGAAAACACATGTAAATACCCGTTAGAACAAAAGTTGAACTGGATCATATTCTATAGGCATGGTATCTACTTGTGAAGTTGATTTTACGACCTATAAACATGATTTCTATTATTGGAACCACTTGAGACCTATAGGCATGATTTCTAACATGGTAAGGCAAACATAGCAAATATAGAATCATATAGGCATGGTTTCTACCCATATTACCTCACAAATATGTAACTACCCACCCTTTTTCACTAGTCACCCCAATATTCGTTTATAAATTATTACAAACCAGATGAATGAATTACATAAAGAAATAAAAAGAAAAGGAAGAAGTTACACTATAGGGAGCATGAAGCAGGCCCAAGTGATTTCCCAAACCTCCAATAGCCTCAAATATCAATTTTATAGACAATATCATTGTCTAGGTGTGTTAGAGTTCCCTAAGGATATCAAGGATCCCGAGCAGTGCTCACACCTAGACTTTGTAACCAAATTGAGTAAGTGCAGTGTGGAAGGGCCAGCCTCAGTGTGCCAGAGTTCAGAGAGATCTCAAGAGGATCCCAAGGCAGTACACACACTGGAGGGGGCAAAACCTAGGGACTTAAGAGTAGAATGAGAGTGCTTGACATTGTTTAAAAAGTTTTCAGTAGGAAAATAGTGTTACAAGAGATTTGCTTGAAACAGTTTTGTAAAAATAGGGAGTTATTAGATAAGACAATTTTGAAAAGGGTAAGGTGACTAACAATCAATCAAACCAAATACAGAATCAGAAAAAGTTCATCAGCACTTCAATACATGGAATCAAACAGGTACACATATCCACTCAAGGGGTAATGCGCATTTGGGGTAAGTATATGGCACATAGTAAGCACAAATGCACATAGGTACAGAATCAGAGAAGCCTTGAAAGGGGTTCAAAGGATTTTAAGGGATAGCTATTAGTACCAATACAGTAGGAGTTTCAGATTCAATCATAGAATCAACCATTTAAAGTAACAGATCAGCTTGCATATCAAAACTAGATAACAGGTAGACATGCATTCAAAGCAAGGTAGAGTCATGTTGAGACAGACTACTAGGGGAGGGGGTAGAACATGTTCTGAAAAGCCCTAAGAAGGTTAGACTAGCATGCTAGATGAAGCAGTAATGTAAACATGTCAATTGCATGTTGAAAAAAAGAACCATAGATAGAAACAAATGAGAGACATGATAAAATGAAGTAGTAAAAGAAACATATTGGTTTTGAAACTTGAATTAAAATCAGAACATACCAGTAGAGAGATGGTAAACACAAAGTAAGGAATAGGAAAGCACAATAGTTAGCCTTGGCTTGCAGCCGGCTAACTCAAAATAATAGCAAGTAACCAAAGAGAGAGCATAAAGTTTTGAGTGTGAGAGAGCTTTTTGAACCAACGTGTTCGTGTTTGTGTTAATGAGAGAGTATGTATATATAGTAGTTCGAAACTAGGTAAAATAAGGCAAGAATCACAATAGTATAGTAATTATGGAACTCAGAATCAATTAGAGCAAAATCAGTACAAGTACTCCCTTAATTTAAGGGAATTAGTTCAAACGGTAAGAACACGTAACAAATAAGGAAAGAAATCAATATACGATCAATAAGGAAAAATTTCAAATGCAGTAAGTATAGGGTAAACAATTAGGGCTAAGTTCAGAAACCTCTAATTAAGGAGATAGTCAATAAGAATAAAGTATCAATGCAGACAAGGTAGGCGAATCAATCAATTTGAATAGAAAGGGTAGGAACCGAAGGTTTAAAGGAAGGTCTTCCAATCAAACCATGAAACAGGGAATCTAGAATTAATCAAAGAGAAAGTCATGAGTCAGTGTTTAGCATATAAATAGAGTATGATAAGAATAACTAGACATAAGCAAACATGAAGGTTAAACAACACTGATAGAAAGAGGCAAGTCTTGAACAGTCAAGATGAATACAAGCACATAGAGTTGATATAAGTTAGGCTAAAAAACTCAGTAGGAACATATTCGAGGCAAGATAGTCGCAGAAACTCAAACAAGAAACGGTCAGTCATGCTGATACACAGAATCAAACGAAGACACCTAGAAAATTAGGGCTTTCAAAATAGACGAGTTGAAGAGGTAGTAAAATTATAGAATCGGTCAAAATATGCATGAAATAGAAGTTTAAACACAAATAATCAGTTAAACAAGGTTTTAAAAGAAATTCTGAAACCCTAATTTTAGAAAAAGGTGAAAAACACTTGAAATCAACGATTCTTGTAAATAGTTCCAAGGACATTGTAAAATATTAAAGGAACAAACTCAAATCGTCCATATTTCGAAATTAGGGTTTCGAAAGAAACCCATATAGAGATGAAGAACCTGCTTAGGAAACCCAAGGATCGTTGCAAATACAACGTGATTTTGCTTGAAATCACACTGGAGAAGCCAAGAATAGGTAGGTGACGAACCCTAGATGCAAGTTGGCGTGGCCCTGGGCCCTTGAAGACCTTAGAGAAGGCAAGCATGGCGNGAAGGCAAGCATGGCATGAGAGAAGCCATTGGAGGTTCAAGAGACGATGAGAGGTCACCGGAGATAGCCGGAGATGGGAAGTCGGTGTTTGAAGACTAGGGTTATGTTGAGAGTGTTTTGATAAAGGAGAGGATATTAGGGCGGCTGATGTAGGAATGGTTAGGGTTGGGGGCTCGTTTGGAATAAAAAAGGCAAGACTAAACGAGGGTCGTTGATCTTTTCGATCAACGGCTAGGATCTGATGGGTTTTGGGTTGGGTAGGCGCATTTAGGGCCTGGGTCGGGTTATTTAATCCGAAATTGGGCTGGGGTATTGGGTTTAATTGAGGCTAAAATTGAAATGCAATTTGGCTAGATTTTAAATAGCCAATTTATCCCCATATAATTTATAATAAATAATATATAATTTCTAAAAAATAATTTCGTGTACTAAAATGATTTAAAATAGATATTTAACATTTTAAAAATATAGAAGATCAATTTTATGCATATAAATATAGTTATGCATTAATAGGGCTAATATTGCAATTATATGCAAATTAGCCTTAAAAATACAAAATGCAATTATAAAAATGCACTAAAATATTTTAACAATATTTTGGTATAAATATAGAATTTAGATGACTAAATTACCACAACAATAATTTGAAGGATAATTATTGGGGATTTTATGAGTAAAAAGGAAGAAATAAATCAATTTAAAACCTTTAAAAATTATAAAAAATTATAAAGACCTTGTGCATGCTTATATATGCATATATATGCTATTTTGAAAGTATTTATGCATACCAAAAATATATAGGGAAAAATTGGGTATCAACACCCTCTCTCTCTCTCTCAGATATTTCTTCTCCTTCTCTTCTTCTTTCTCTCCTTCTCTTCTCCCTCGATCTAGGGTTTCTGCAAGTGATCAATCACCAAACTTCAGCATGGTATCAGAGCTTCGAGCTCAGAACTGATATCAGAGATCGATCCTCAATCTCTTCTCATCTTCAATTTCTTCTAAATCAAAATTCTGCTTCAAATCTAATATCTCAATTTTCTGTTTTTTCAACTCAAAATTGATCAACAATGGCGGTTGATGATTTGTTGAATGAAAGTCCTAATACTACTGTTGAAAATGCTTCACATGCATCATCAGAGGATGGATTTGAGGAAGGAGTGACTGTAGCAGTCACCCATCCTTTGTACATAGCTCCCGACGACACAAGTGGAATATCCTTGATCTCATTTCTGCTAACCAGCACTGACAATTAATCTCTATGGCATAGATCTATGTGAATCACATTACTTGGTCGAAATAAGCTGGGGATTGTTGATGGTAGGTGGTCTAAGGAGCGGTTTCGTGAGAAGTACTGGTATCAATGGGAGAGGTGCAATGCAATTGTGTTTTCATGGTTGATGAATTCAATGGCTCTGACATTAATCAGTGGGATCGCATAAGCTACTAGTGCATAGGTAGTGTTGATGGATCTGTAGGAACGTTTTGCCAAGGTGAATGATACACGTTGCTATAATTTGCATAAGGAAATTGCCACTCTAAATCAAGGTACTGCATCTATTTCTGTTTACTACTCAAAGCTCAAAGACCTTTGGGATGAGACTGAGTCTATAGTACCTACTCATGGCTACGATTGTGTTAAGACAAAAGAATTTATTGTGCATTTACGTAAGAAGAAGGTGTATCAACTTTTAATGGGGCTAAATGACTCTTATTCTCAAGCACGTAGTCAAATCCTTATGATGAAACCATTACCAACAGTAAATCAAGCTTATGCTATGCTTATGAGTGATTAAAGTCAGAGATCTGTTGCAGCCACTGCTGGAGTATTAGGATCTACTCCTAATATAAACACAAATGCCTATGACTCTACTGCCTTGTACAGTGCTAAGCCTAGTTTCAATCCAAAGTTTAGGAAAAATTATAATGTCCAATGTGAGTTCTGTAAAATGAAAGGCCATAGCAAAGAAAACTACTATAAAATCATAGGGTATCCACAAGACTATAAGGCTAAAAGAAAGGGGGAGCTGGTGCATACAATTCTATGATAGAACCTAGTTGTGGTGTGCCTTTGCACACAAATCATGTTTCTCAGAACAAGGCAATACAACCTATGCCTATGTATCAAGGCAATCAATATGTGAGCCAAGTTCCTGAAGGATTATAGGGTCAAGGGATCTCAGACACTCAGAATCAGGAAGGTACTTCCTCTTCACAATCTCAGGGATCAGCAAATACTGCTCCACAAGGTGGTGGTTTTCCCTTTACCAAGGAACAATATGATTAGATAATGCAGATTTTGAACAGTAGTCCAACTCCTCATACTCAAACAAATACAGCAGGTATTGATACTGCCATTTTAGCATCCACTAACTCACAATAACAAGAATGGATCATTGATACAGGTGCAACAAATCATATGGTGACAAATGTAAACTTACTGACCAAAACCTCCCTAATCACACCTTCTAAGTCTAGAAGCGTTTTACTACCTAATGGAGATGTTACTCAAGTTACTCAGATTGGAGATAGTCATATTTCAGATAGAAGCACTATTAAGGAAGTGCTTTATGTCCCTCAATTCAAATTCAACTTATTTTCAGTCTCCAAGGTGACAAGAGATCTAAGATGCTTTGCTTCTTTTTATCCTGATTTTTGTGTATTTCAGGATCTGTTCAGTGGTAAGGTGAGGGAGATTGGTAGGGAAAGAGATGGCATATACTTTCTGCAGAAACATGGGGCCAAGAAGCTTACCGCAGTTGCTCTAGTTGCAGCTGGAATAAAGTTAAGAACTACAGATATTACTTTGTGGCATAAAAGGCTAGGTCATATCTCTAGTGTGGTACTCAGAAGACTATTTCCTGCTAAACTAGCTAGTATTACTGATACTATCAATAAATGCACTGTCTGTCCATGTGCTAAACAAACTAGACTGCCATTTCCTAATAACTGTATTAAGAGCATTGATGTAATTGATCTAATTCATGTGGATGTTTTGGGTCCTTACAAGTATGCAACTTTTGATGGAAATAAGTACATCTTGACTGTTGTTGATGATTTAACCTGAATGACTTAGTTGTCTCTTCTGAAGTTAAAATATGATGTGTGTGTTGTACTCACTCAATTTATTATGTTAGTTATAACTAGGGATTTTGCCACATTTCATTCTCTTTCTTGCTTACGCTTTGATTATAAATTCATACAAAATAGTCCCCATAGGCTCATAAGTTGTGCTTGATTGCAGGGTTGATCAACAAAGTGACGAGATGTCAAAGATCGACTCAAAAGTAGTGAAACCTGCACAAGTACCAAAGATAAGACAAACTCATGACAAACAGGCCTAGTGCGGCCGCAGTACACTTTGTGCGGTCCGCACTAGGGAGATTCAGAGACCTAGATTTGAAGGCAACAAAGCAGTGCGGCCGCAGTACACTTTGTGCGGTCCGCACTAGGGAGATTCAGAGACCTAGATTTGAAGGCAACAAAGCAGTGCGGCCGCAGTAGATATTGTGCGGCCCGCACCGAAGACACCGCAGACGCACCATAATTTCATGCGGTCCGCAGAAGCAATGTTCAGATAGATGTCAAGTGCCAGGGTTCAAGCCTGTGCGGTCCGTAGTCCATTTTGCGCGGACCGCATTGGAAGCCTCCGCGGTCGCGGTCCATTCTGCGCGGTCCGCGGAGCCTGGGTTCAGAGAGTTGAAATTGCAGAGTCAAGAGCCTAGTGCGGCCGCACACCATTTTGTGCGGTCCGCACTGACCCTGCAGGGGCATTTTTGTCCAGTTTTTCCATCTTAGTATAAATAGAACCTTTTTTAATTTTTAGGGTATGAGATATTATCAGACCTTAGCTGCGCTGGTGAGAAGACTTTTCTTAGCTATTTTGGGCATTTTTACTTAGTTTTTATCATTGAATCTTTGTATTTACCTTAGCAATTAATTAATATGTCTTTATCTTCATCTATTTCTCTGTTTTCCTCTTCAAGCATGAGTAGCTAAACCCATTAGCTAGGGTTGTGGCTCAACCCTAGTGTAGGTAATTGATGGGTGTTGTGATTTAAGGTTAGATTGACTATGGGTGTTTGATATTTCGATCAATTTCATGGTTTAATCTATGAATTAGTGGTTGAAAACACTAGTTTGTGCTAAGTTGACTTGGGTTCTTCTTGAGAAAAAGAGCCTAAGTCTCCGAAATGGACCCAACAAGGAATTGGGATGGACTCAAGAGAATTGATAGTCTCAATTTAAGGGTTAAACCTCGAGAGAGTAATACCCGACTTGAACCCCAGTTGCTTGAGCAAATTTGCCTACCCTATTGGTCTTGAGAAAGTCAATTGGGCAAAATCACTCTCTCTACCGAGAGGTGTGAGAGTGGGTAAAATTATGCAACGGTTATAGCATATCAATCGTGCCTTATATTCAATTACCCGTCAATTGGCCACCTAGGAGGATGCCACTACCCTAGTGCCTTTTTATCCATTAGATACAACTTGTAACAATTATCGCTTAGCATAATCTAGTTGCAATTATAATTAGTAGTTGATAATAGTAGATTATTAAAGAAAAACCCAAAAATGATTGGAAGTGATATTTGGAACAATTACACAATTCCAATCTAAATAGATACTCGACTCCATTCCTAGCTCCTTGTGGAAATCGATCCCGACTCACAAATCGGGTAAAAGCTATTGCGACCCTCTCTTCCTACTTTTTAGCAGTGCGGAGTAGGCTGTGATCACTTTTTGGTGTCGTTGCCGGGGAGCTAACGGTTTTGGCTATCTATTTAGTTAGTTTTGTGTATTGTTCTTCTTTCCTTCTTTGTTACTTACTTGTTTGTGTCATTACTCAGGTACCAACATGGCTTTAAACAACGCTAATGACCCTATTGGAAACATGATAGCGGGGGAGGAGGTAGATGATCTTGAGAAAGATGAGGTGCCTCTTGCACCTCAAGGACAACGTAGAAGCCGCAATGCCAATGCGAATCCAAATGACAATATTCCAGAACCTCCTCCGCCACCTCCAAGAGTGGCCCCAGAGTACTTCCGAACTAGGGTTATGCAAGTGCTATTGTCCCACCCAGAATCCGGGCAGGCAACTTTCAGATAACCAAT